TCTCCAGAAACACTCCATACTCAATGTCTCTCCTCCTTCATTGATCACTGCCATTGAAAGCTTGGTTTCCCCATCACCATGACCTCGAGGCTCTTGAATACCTTGGGGAGGTCATAGAGTTTGTCAGCAATTTACTAGCTGTCTTTCTCCTTAGATCACTGTCTGCCACTATTTTTAATCAGTTTTTCTCTTCTTGTTCTTTTACCACCTACAACTTTTAAAAATTTTTTTAGTTATAGATGGACACAATACCTTTATTTTATTTATTTACTTTTATGTGGTGCTGAGGATTGAATCCAGTGCCTCACACGTGCTAGGCAAGTGCTCTACCGCTGAGCTACAACCCCAGCCCTCCACCTACAACTTTATCCCTCCAAATTACTGTTATGAGCAGTTTAGTTCTCTTTATTACAATCCTGGTATCTCTAGAATAGAAGTCTTTTAAATCCTGGTATGTCTTTGGCTGGTGAAATAGCTCAGTGATAGATCTTCTTTTTTTTTTTTTTTTTTTTTAAGAGAGAGTGAGAGAGAGAGAGAGAGAGAGANCATCTTTGTTGGTATGTGGTGCTGAGGATCGAACCCGGGCCGCACGCATGCCAGGCGAGCGCGCTACCGCTTGAGCCACATCCCCAGCCCAGTGATAGATCTTCTCATGTCTTCTTTTCATCTGTAAGAAAAGGTGAAAATTCAAACCATAGTTCTAAACTCTCAATGGTATCTATAGAAAAACACAACAATTATAGATGGTGGGGGGCCCCTCTGGAAACAGCAGTAATTAACCAGTCAAAACAATAATAAGTTTCTGTACTTGGTTGGTTAGTAAATTTAGAATATGTGACTAGTTTTGCTGTTTCACATTTTAGCTGCTGTATTTTGGATGTCATAATGTTTGGGGCTGAAAGTCACACAAAGTCTTGATGCAGCCCGGCTTCATCACTGGAATAATTTATTTACTGCAAGACCAGAGGTAGGGTAGGCTTCAGGGATGGATCATGCCATAGCTTGATGATACCATTTAGACCCAAATTCCTTCCTTCTCTCTCATGTAGTTGCTATTGCATTAGTTTCCTCTCAACCAATCCTTTCTTCCACCACTACCAGTGCTGCCTTCTTGTTAATGCCCAGCAAAAGAACCTCTTCCGGAATCATGGATTATAAGTCTTTTCCTTTGTGTTAACTGCCATCTTAGATAAGGGAATGCCATCAGTTAATGATTTAAGAGAACTGAGAATTCATCCTTAAAACTGGATAAATAGTTAAGTTTTCCTTGACGCCTATGGTGGGGTAGAGGAATAAAATCAGAATTATTTTAAATCTTGAAATAATTGTTGGTAAAATGTCATTACTAGAGTTTATCTTGAAGTTATGTTTTTTATAACTTCTAAAAGAGTACAATATCTGCTGAAGTTATCATTAGTAGATTTTCTTCCCTTTGATTTTAAAAATACTGATTCTTTCACAAACTTGACATTTACTAAAAATGTAAAGTTTTAGTTTTAGTTTCTTTTCCTTTATTTTTATAATGTCATTAATTCAGTTTTTGAATAGAAATCCACAGATTGAAAAAGCAAGTAATCTGAGACCCCCTGGTTTCTCTAGTTGAATTTTTACTTGGACAATAAAGCTTGCTCCCTTCAAGCCTTCAAAGAAATCTTTCCTAGGATTCTGCTCCATCCTGGGGAGGGGAGCAGTTAAAGCTTCAAATCAACACCTCACCCCTCAGATCTTTAGAGCATTTATTCCATCAGACTCCAAACAAAGAAGTTGTGAACGTAGATGTGGCACAGTGTGAATACAATCTATTTCTAGGTCTCTTATTATAATTTCCCTTCAAAAGCACCTGGAAAACATATAGAAAAGAATTACTTTCTACCAATAAAACCTTCTGGACATAATGAAAATGATGAAAGGTGTGAGCTTAGATTTTTTTTTTAAGTGTGCATTTATAGCCAGGCATGGTGGTGCATACCTGTAATCCCAGCAACTCAGGAGGCTGAGGCAGGAGAATCCCAAGTTCAAGGCCAGCCTCAGCAACTTAGCAAGACCCAGTCTCAAAATTTTTAAAAAAATGGACTAAGGATGTGGCTCAGTGGTAGTGAATCCCTAGGCTAAATCCCCAGTCCCCCCCCAAAAAAAAAGTGCATTTAAAAGATGAATAGCACAAATACAGGAAAAAATAACTTTCTGTATAGAATTAAGTACAACTTCTTGTAATATTTAAAATGAGGTGCCCCTTAAATTTTCAGCATACTGGTGATCCCTGTTCTTGTGCCCTCTCATTCTCCTAAAAGAGTAGTGTGGTATAATCAAGTGGCTATGTGTTTGCTTTTTCTCCCATCGGAGAATAATAGCAACATAGACCAGATTTCTAAGGTCATTTCCATTTTAAATACTCAGTCCCATTGCCTAAGAGAGTTTGGGATAATAAAGCACAGAATTTGGAATAAGAGGACCTAACATTCAGACAAACTCAGCATTGTCATTCCTGGGAGGTACGGAAGGTGATTTCCCCAAGATTATACCTAGTATGTGATAGAGCATACTATTTTTTTTGGGGGGGGGGACTGGGGATTTAGCCTAGGGATTCACTTCCACTGTACTTTTTCATGAGAACTAGACAAGTAAATTGATGGGTATAACTTATTTTGACAAGAAAAGTTTAATTCATTAGCAATTATTTAGCAGGCCCTGGACTCCGATATTAAAATAAAGGAGTGAGCAAGCGGACAAAAGCATTTGTCCTCACCAAGTTTACATTCTGGTTGGGGGAGACAGCCAGTGTATTATGTCAGGAGGTGATATATTCATGAAGAAGGGTAAAGGAAGTAATTGGAGTAAGAGTTGGGGTTTCATATAGGGTGGTATGTAAGTTGACAATTGAGCAAATATCTGAAAGAAATGAGGGAGAGAGTTCTGCAGATGTTTGGGAGAAGAACCTTTCTGGATTAAGGAGTCAAGCTCTTAAGTAAGAGGAGCTGGGTAACAGCTTATGCCAAGTGAGGAAGCACAGTTTGCATACTTAAAGCTTGTACAATTTATAGATGTTGAAACATATATATTTTGCCCTGGTCCTATAATTCAGTGTTCATTGAATTTGGGTAATTTACAGACACTCCTCCAAGGAGTGAGAACCTGTCTCAAAACAAACAAACAAAAATGAAATAAAATAAGAAGGGCTGGGGATGGGCTTAGTGGTATAGCATCCCTGGTTTTAATCCCCACTACAAAAACCAAAACAAAATAAAATACTTATGTCAATTTTTTCCCTCATATCCCTTTTTAAAATAAAATGATTATTTCAGCCTCTGAACAGTATATCTTTAACACAGGTAGGCCACACACACTTGAATATACAGTTTATAGTCTTCCACAGTGATGGAGAAAAGTATCAGTGTCAATTCCCCAAGCGCCAGTGTCACCCTACCCCAAACTGTTTACTTAAAAACCAAAAACAATAGCAGCAAAAAAATCTTTGAGGGCTGGGGTTGTGGCTCAGAGGTAGAGCATTTGCTTAGCAAGCAGAGGCACTGTGTTCAATCCTCAGCACCACATAAAGTAAAAGGAGGACCTTGTGTCCACCTGTAACTAAAAAAATAAATGTTTTTTTAAAAGTCTTTTTGAATAATCCAAAAAAAGAAATGTTCTATTTCTTTTCCTTTTTTGTATCTTTTGGCCCTTGTGGCTTAGAACTTTAAATCTTTGGCCAAACTCTACATAGTGACTTTCAAACTCATTTTATATAACCTGCAATTTACAAAGGGAACCAGTTATGAAAACATATGTGAACGTGTATATGCACACAGTTGAACATACTTAACTAAATGTATGGAATGTATGCCAGTATTTTCTCATCCTGTTTCATGTTTAATGCTTCTTGTAAGGCACTGAATTTTTATAACTAAACCTTGTCCCTATTCATAACACTCTTATTAGGAAAATCTAAACCTCTAAACTGCCAACAAAACTCAAACCTTTGGAAACTACTTACTTATAAATTAAAAAGTGTATGTGGGTTTATTCTTTTCTTCTGTAATCAGAGTAAAGCTTCACTAATTCAGACTGATCTGGAGGGAGAATTTGACATAATGTAGTTTTTTGTTCTGTTTTATTTTGTTTTGGTTTTTGTAGTGGGGATTAAACCCCAACTCAAACGGGATGCTATTCCACTAGCCCATCCCCAGCCCTTCTTATTTTATTTCACTTTTTTTTTTTTTTCTGACAGGTTCTTACTCAGTTGCCCAGGTTGGCCTCAAACTTGGGATTCTCTTTCCTTAGACTCCCGAGTCTCAGGGATTATAAGCAGGTACCACTTGCTCAGCACATATGTAGTATTTTCAAATGAGGCTCATTGTCATATTTAATGTTTCCAGACCCAAATGAATCTCAAACAATCTTGCTCTAAAGACTCTTCTTTTTTAATTTTTTTAATTATGGATAGGCATAATACCTTTATTTTATTTATTTATTTTTATGTGCTGTGTGCATCGAGCCCAGTGCCTCATACATGCTAGGCAAATGTTCCACCACTGAGACCCGACTCTACAGGCTCTTAAGAGTCCTGCTAACAGTTACTATTATGGCATTATGTAAAAATGTGGATGTGTAACCGATGTGATTCTGCAATCTTTGTAATGTTTTGAATAACCAATAAAAAAAAGAAAGAGTCCTGCTAAATAAATCAGTACTTTACTGGCCATTTTCTTTACTGTTTTAATATCATGTAAATTATTCTGGTTATTTTCTGATACTTCTGGGATGAATTACCCTTTATTTTATGGGATTATGTAGTAAAAGTGCTCTGACTTGGAATTAATACCAATTTAAGAGACTTTGAAGAAATTTTGAGCTTTAGAGTTCTTAGAAAAGGAATTCTTTAGGGGTGCCTTTCTTTCTCTCAGTAATTGCAAGTTTCCTTACCTCTTGACTTAGGAACACTTTAGTTAGGGCAAAAGAGAGCTTCTAATAATTATCACCTTCTCTCCTGTTCCCCATTCCCATAGGTGTACCAACATTCGCCCAGGAGAGACTGGTATGGACGTAACAAGCCGCTGCACCCTTGGAGACCCCAACAAACTGCCAGAAGGGGTTCCCCAACCTGCCCGTATGCCCTATATCTCAGACAAGCACCCTCGACAAACCTTGGAAGTGATTAACCTACTGAGAAAGCACCGGGAGCTATGCGATGTGGTGCTAGTTGTGGGCGCTAAAAAGATATATGCTCATCGAGTTATTTTGTCAGCCTGTAGTCCCTACTTCCGAGCTATGTTTACTGGAGAATTGGCGGAGAGCCGTCAGACAGAGGTCGTGATCAGAGACATAGATGAGAGGGCCATGGAGCTTCTGATTGACTTTGCATATACCTCCCAGATAACTGTGGAGGAAGGCAACGTTCAGACCCTTTTGCCAGCTGCCTGCCTCCTCCAGCTGGCAGAAATACAGGAAGCCTGCTGTGAATTCTTAAAGAGACAATTAGATCCTTCTAACTGCCTGGGCATTCGGGCTTTTGCTGACACACATTCTTGCCGTGAGTTGCTGAGGATAGCAGACAAGTTCACTCAGCATAACTTTCAAGAGGTGAGCTGTACGTGGTTGTTTGAATGCATTCTTAACCTATTTGTTGGAAGGACAATATGGGTTCACAGTCTCCAATAAATGACATCTGCTTGGATATTTACTACTGATTCTCATTCATAATATCAAGTTGTTTTAAATTCTAAACCTGGGTTTTTTTTTTTTTTTTTTTTTTTTTTTTTTTTTTTTTTTTTTGTATCAAGAATTGAACCCAACAGAGCTTAACCACTGAGCCACATCCCCAGCCCCTGTTTTTATTTTGTGACAGGGTCTCATTAAGTTGCTGAGCTGGCCTCAAACTTGAAATCCTCCTGCCTCAGCCTCCCCAGTTGTTGGGGTTACAAGCATGCACCACTGTACCTGGCTAAACCTGGTTTTTACTTTAGAGGCCAATGTTGTGTTTTGCCAGTAAAAGTCATTTCTCACTAGCCAATTCATGAAGAGTTAATTTATAAACCAAAATATAGTCCATTAATTCATAAGAGGATCTATCACCTGATAGAATAACTGCAGTCAGTCATTTGCTCAAGGCCTTTTCTTCCTGATTATATGAATTAGTCAGCAGAATAAATTATAGACCAGAGGTTATTTGTGAGTAACCAAAATACCAAGCAATAATCAGAAAAATTTATATGGTATCAAAGAATTTTTCAGTGAACACTATTTTTCACTTATTCATTGAACAGATTTTTATAAAGCCTATTGTGTTTCATCCACATAGGCTATACAGTAGTAAACGAACACCCGCAGTCTCTACTCATGGAGTTTATAATTTAGCTAATCTAGATGGCTATTGTGGGCCTGTTACACAAATAATTATCATCACTGGGGTCTGCAGAGAAGGAAGCCTTGGGTGATTTGGAAGTATGTAGAAGTATTTAACTTGGATTCTGGAACAGCTCATGCAAAATTCTGAGACACTAAACAAGTTTGAAGAACTGAAAATAAAACAAACAACCTACTCTAGACCCCAAGACCTGGGGTAGGATGTTACCTCATGATTTCACAGAAGGAAGAAGGCCCAATCACACCAGAGTTGATAGACCATGGTAAGAATTTGAGACTTAATCTTTAGAGTAATATAGTTTTAAATTGCATTTCTCTTAAAATAAGCAAAGTCAAACATCTTTTATGTGTTTAAGGATCATTTTTTATAATTCTTGCAAATTATGTTTTAAATATCTTTTGCCCATTATTTTATTAAGCTTTTAGAGTTTTCCCCCTATTAACAATAACAACCTTTTATCTATGATATAAATGATATAAATATTTTTTCCAGTTTACATTTGTCTTTCAACTTTGCTTGTTATATTTTTGGTCATGCAAAAGTTTTTGGTTTTGAGTTTGTTTTGTTTTGTTTATTGGGGATTGAACCCAGGGGTGCTTAAGCACTGAGCCACAACCCAGCACTTTATATTTTTCATTTTGAGGCAGGGTCTCACTAGTTTTCATACAGCCTCACTAAATTGCTGAGACTGGCTTCAAACCCACAATCCTCCTGCCCTAGCCTCCTGAGCCACTGGGATTACAGGCATGTGTCACCACACCCAGCAATTTTTGCTTTTTTTTAATGTTGTCAAATGTATCAGTCTTATTACACTTAGAATTTCAAGACAGAATTCAAAAGCCTTCCCCTATATCAAGTTACAGAAAAATTCACATAGATTTTTTTTTCTACTATGTATGTGGTCTGTTTATCTTTGTGTATTGTGTGAAATATGAGCCAAGTTTTGTCTTTTTCTAAATGGTCAACTAGTAGTGTGAGGTAGACTATAACTCAAGGTAGCATCTTTATTATGTACTAGATTTCTGTATGTATTTGCTTTTGTACCTTTGTATTTGACAGTGTACTCCACTGCTTTCTGTAATGGTTTATTTATTAAGGCTTTACAATATATCCTTACATGTGATAGGCCTAGTTTCCAGTGGTTTCCAGCTTTCTTACTTGTTTACATGTGACTCCCACCACCACCACCCTGCAGTGCTGGGCTATGCATGCTGAGCAGGTTCTCTTGTAACTGAACTCTTTTTGCATGTTTATTTTCCCAGATGATCTTTAATATCACCTTATCCAACTTATTTATGTATTTATGGAATCATATTAATCTATAAGTTAAGAACAGTCCTATATATGATGTCATATCAAAGAACAAGATTTCATTTCTTTAACTATTTTGAATCACTCAGGAACGTTCTATCGTTTTCTTCATGTAGGTTTTACAGATTTCTTTTTTAAGTAGATTTGGGTTTTTTTTCCCTCTCCTATTTAGTTTTTCTCCTCCACTATATCTTCTAACTGGTTATCATTAATGTATATGAAAGTTACTTACTGAATTTCTTATTGAGTTACTTCTACCATTTTTTTTTTAAACTGGGAATTGAACCCCCGCACAGTGGCGCATGCCTGTAATCCCAGTGACTCCGGAGTATGAGGCAAGAGGATCATGAGTTCACAGCCAACTTCAGCAACTTAGTGAGGCACTAAGCAATTCAGTGAGACTCTATCTCTAAATAAAATACAAAATAGGGCTGGGGATGTGGCTCAGTGGTCTAGTGCCCCTGAGTTCAATCTCCAGAACCAAAAAAGAAACTGGAAATTGAACCCAAGCACACTTTATCACTGAGCTATATCCCTAGCCCTTTTTGTTTTGTTTTGTTTTGGGAGACAGTCTTGCTAAATTGCCCAGATTGGCCTGATCTTGTGATCTTCCTGCTTTAATCTCCTGAGTAGCATCATCAGCATATACCCTGTTCTTGATTCTTTAGAGTGTTCTTGGCATCCTGTCTTATTGTGTGCATATTAATAGTTTATATTTCTTATTTTTCAGTCATAAGTTGATTTTTTTAAAGTTCTGCTTTAATCATAACTTTTTCTTAGATCAGAACACTATTAACCATAAGGAAATTCTGCAGTCTCTTCTAGTTCTGAGCTTGCCTTTCAAGGGAATTTGATACATACCATAATGAAATTGCAGTGTATTAGTCCACATAGGTGTAAAACAAGGATCACCATTTGGGAGTTAACACTTATGACACATTTAAATTACTTCTGAACTTTATCAGATTTATCCTTAATTTCCTTCTGTTTTATTAGACCTAGCCCAATGCATACAGTGTCATTCTTATTCAGAAACAAATTTTAAAATTGTCTTTAAACTCAGCAGCACAAAGTTCACCATATACTCCATTATAAAAAGTCTAGGTGACTTTGCTTATTCACTCTGCTTGTTTTTAGCTTTGTTCATTTCTCAAATAGTATCTGCGTTCATCTGAAGAAACGGAAAGCAAACTATGATTACCATAATAGTGTGGGTCTTAAAATTCAATCTCCTCTAAACTCTTAGTTAAGAAAAAATTTTAATCATGTTTTCTTAACCTGTCATTTGGTTCAAGGATAGATTTCAGTGTTAGATTTGCCCTGATGATATATTACTAATATCTATTTCTTGTTGCTGAAAAAGAATTGGCATTTTAGCAGACTTTGTCTATCACCAGTATTATTTTTTTACTTTCTGCTCTTATTTTATGCCAAATATATTTTTACACAAATTTTCATGCCTTCCTGCTATGTCGTGTTTTTGTTAAATAATTATTAGTATCATAGTGGTTTATTCATAAACTTTAAACCTGGTGATATTTCAGTAACATTTGGTTTTTAATCAATATGTTGGGAAAAGGAAAAAAATCTTACTCTTTGACAAGAGCTTAAAAGAATGTTAAGACACTTTACAAAGATACATGATACCATACTTGTACTTAAGAGAGGACATCAGAAAATAAAAAAGGGGAAAGGAAGATTCAGCCATGGCTAAAGTTGTGCTTGATATGAAGCCAACACACTAGGAACCTAGACTCCAAACAGTTCTCGATGTTGTAGCCCTCCACCCACTCCCAACACAGGGAAGCCAGATAAAACAGTGCTGTCCATTAAATTTAAATTCCAGACAAACAACAAATAATTTTTAGTATAAGTATGTGCTATATTTTTATTTGCTAAATCTGGCAACCCTACTACAAAGAATAAAATGCAACCATTCTACTTATTGTTGCCTGTCTAAGCAGCCTTAGCTAATATTTATTTCCTGAACCCTGGAAAGTATTTCACAGAGATCATTTGAAAACTTGAGCTATTAAAAGGTATAACTGACCTAATGGCCCTTAACTGTTTTATTTTGAGATTTGCGTTTTTTCTAATGTGTTTGAGGAAAACGACCAAATATTCAAATTATTGTTATAGCCTTATATATCCTGCTAAATAGTCGGTTGACTTTGATGAGGATGAAAATAACCCAATCTCAAGAGAAACCTTGGTCTGCCTCAGGCAGCACAGGGGGAACCAGCTCCCGGCCAATCCTGCTGGACCAGCAGACATTCCAGGTAGCCCCGTCTGGAGGGATGGAGCAGTGGCCACTACCTTTTCTGCTGCATCCTGCCCTTAGTCACACCCTGAGGAGTACACTCAGGAGGGCCTGGAATCTGTGGCTTCCTGCACCTCCATCTTACAGTTCCCTAGACTTGAGTAAAGATAAATCCTGGCAGTTTGTAGTTCTCATTAGAATATGTATCAGAGTAGTGTGGTCCTCAGAGGTTGGTCTCCTGCTCTCCTCATATTCATGTTGCAGAATTGTAGGCAGCCTCATTCTTTTTTTAAAACTGACCCCTTAGTATTTCTACCCTAAATACTGCTCTTTATCAACTAATCTTCCTTTGAAAGCTTTTCCTGACTCTTTATGTACCTCTGGACATTTGTGGAATTTTAATTGGATATAGTTAATTTGGCTTATTTTGATCTTTTAAGGGAAAATGTCATTTTTCTTAAATTGTTTAAGTCACAAGTGATTATTTTTGTAAAATTTTGATTGTGATCTCTATACTTTATTTTTAAACCTTACTTCAGATATTGTTTTAAACTTACAACCATTGTGGAATAGTATTGCCATATACCCTGAAGAAAAATTAAATCAAATGTGCTCATAAGTTTTCTTTCTTTTCTTTTCTTCCCCCGCCCCCTTTCATTCTTACCTAACTTTGAACAGGTAATGGAGAGTGAAGAGTTCATGTTACTTCCAGCCAATCAACTCATTGATATCATTTCTAGTGATGAGCTGAATGTTCGCAGTGAAGAGCAAGTGTTCAATGCAGTGATGGCGTGGGTCAAGTACAGTATTCAGGAAAGACGCCCTCAGTTGCCCCAGGTAATATTAGAAACACTTCTCTAAACTGCTTTGTACCAGAAGAAACAGTATGCACTTGTCTTGCAAAAATGAAACCCTTGTATTAGACTCCAAGACAGTTTACCTGTTTCCAAGGAAGTGTTTAGAAGCATTTGAGTGCTTATCATAGTGAACTTTTTACTTCTTTGCTTCCCTTCTATTTTGGACTCTACTTTTGAGCTATAGCACAATTCAAAAATCTAAATTATATAAAATGAACAAAAAGCAAGGATGCTTTTCTGATAGCTTAGAAATCCTATTATACCTTGAATAATAAATGGATAAATTGGGGCAGGAATGATCACTTGTTATGAATATACAGTGGTTCCCTTTTATCTGCAGGGGATACAATTCAAGATCAGCTAGATGCCTGAAACCTTCAAACCCTATGTATACTAATTTTTTTCCTATACATTGCATACCTGTGGTGAAGTTAAATTTATAAATTAGGCAATGTAGAAGATCAACAATAATAGTAACAATTACAGCAATATACTGTGATAATAGTTATTTAAAACTTACATTGAATTGTTTATTTCTGGAACTTTCCATTTAAAATTTTCTGCCAAGGTTGACTACCAGTAACTGAAACCACTGAAAGTAAAATTGCAGATAACAGGGGACTATTATATTCTTTAGTAATTAACAGAATATTTTTTCAGATTGTGAGTGAATTTGAAAACAGTTACAGAAGAGCTTGTAACATTGTTAAAACTTAAAGTAACATTCTAAAGTGATGTTAGTGTTATTTCAGTCATTTCACATTACTGACTTGTTAGTTAGAATAAGTCATTTAGTTTTAGTGTTTGTGCCTATCATCCTTCTTCCTTGTTTATCATGTTCAACTAGCTACCATAATACTTGGAAGCAGAGTGGGGGAGAATGGGTCTTGTATTTCCTTGACAATATTATGGGTAGACTTCATGTCTTTAGTATCAATACTATTTCTTATCTCATAGGTGCTACAGCATGTCCGTTTGCCCTTGCTTAGTCCCAAGTTCCTGGTGGGCACAGTAGGCTCTGATCCTCTCATTAAAAGTGATGAAGAATGCAGGTATGAGTGGCCCTAGAGGAGAAAAATAAACATAATGTTTTCTTTTAATCTTCTATTGCTTCTAAAATGTTATATTTCTTAGTGCTGAAACTGGGGCGGTATTTAACAGGTTTTTCTTCTGGGCTAGGGTCAAGAGGAAGAGAATGAAGAAGAGAGGACTGAGCCTCCAGTATTCCATTCCGTTAGTTTTTTATGTGTGGTGCTTATTGGTGTAGAAGTGGCAATAAAGAGGTAGATTTCTAAGATTTTAATGCTAGCTTGACTTTGAAGAGGCAATCTCTGCTTTTTTCTCTTGAGATAAAGTGGACAATGCTGTTGACTCTGTGTTAGTGAGCACTCTTTCATTCCATCACATACGTCTTGTTGGGAAATAGGACCAGACTTGCTTTCTAAACTGTGGACAGAGTTAAAGACCAACTCCTAAAGTAACTTTGGAAAGATTTCCACTGGAGCTAGTTTCCAAATGTTTTTTGACTAAAACATAACAAAACAAAAAACTATTTTACTAGACTGTCTCTGTAACAGACACAAAATTTAACAAATTAATTTTCCAGTTTGAAATATCTTAAGTTTTAGGTTCAAGTCTGAAACCATTAAAAATGAAATCATTTTTAATAATTTTTTCCAATTATGAAGAATGTTCTAAATATAAAGGTGATAGAACAAGTCAGTACTCCTTAAAACTGCACTCATCTCTGTGCCTCTCTTGGTGATTAAAGAAATTTGGGATTAACCCTAATTCTATAATAGAGGTAGGACATGCAGATTCACTGCATTTCTTCTATAATCCAAGGCCTGTTGTTTAACAGGAGATGCTACGGGGGATTTTAAGATATCTGTCTTTTAAATTTAAATTTTAATTAATTCCCCTAAATATTTGCAATAGAAAAAAAGGAAACCATATGAATTATATGCACTGAAATCTGAAGAAACAAAACACTGATAACTCTCCTCCTTTATTAAGCATAATCAGATCATTTTAATTCTGATGTAGAAATTTAATAATACTTGTGAAGGTACTTTTAAAAGAGCCTTCCTGATAGGTTAAGACCTCACAATTTATTAATTTTGTGACCTTGAGCAAGTTACTTTAACCTCTCTGTGCTACAGTTTCTTCATCCAGGAAGTAGGTTAATAATAGTGCCTATTCCATAGGGCTGCTATAAAGATTAAATGAGTTAATATATATGAAGCATGTAAAATAGGGAGCAGCATGTTACTACATTGTGTTACTATTAATTTTGCATTGGCTTTCTAAGTATTAGCCCTATAGTGCTCTTTCTAGGAACCCTTGACTGACTTAAAAACTGGCAATTAGGAGATCAAAGTCTTTCAAGTACGGAGCTTGAAAAAACTTTTGGCTTTTGGGGTGGGTTTTTTTTTTTTTTTTTTTTTTTTGGTGTTTTGGTGCCAGGGATTGAACCCAGAGGGACTTTACCACTGAGCCATATCCCCAGCCTTTTTTATTTTTTCATTTTGAGACAGGGTCTGGCTAAGTTGCTTAGGTCCTTGCTAAGTTGCCAAGGCTGACTTTGAACCTAGATCCTCCTGCCTTAGCTTCCTAAGTCTCTGGGATTACAGGCATGCACTGTTGCTCCTGGCCTTTTTGTTGTGTCAAATTTTGTTTTTAGAATAGATAACTCAGAAGGAGCTTTAACAAAAGCTTATGTTGGAAAGTGCATTATTGAGTGATTCCTGGGACTGGTCTGACAGGAATAAATTAACTCTTTGTTTCATAAATAATAAGAGAAATCAAAATATAGAGTATTTTAGGCAACACTTTAGTTAAGGAAGAAGAGAGGAACAGAATTTGCAATAAGAAGGCACTGTATTACATGAAGTACTCAAGTGAAACAAGTACATACACTAACAGTTTGTTTTAGAGTACTGTATTCACAAGCATAATTATCAGGTTCTTAAAGCAACTTAATTAGAAGAAATTTTTATTCATCTCACTGTGCTTGTTAAGATTAAATTATTCATATGATACCAGATAATAAATTAGTATTAAGTAACTCTAGACTATTTCTTTTTAGCAATCCAATATTTGACCCAGTTCTGTTACCTTAATTAATATAGCAAGTATCTAGTGCCCCAGCTAATGTGCTGCTTTTCCAGTATTCTGCAGAATCTAATAAAACTCATTAGAAAGTAGTAACTATGCAAGCTGGTAATTGAGTTGTAATTTTTAGTTTTTCATAAGTTATTGTTGGCTGTAAGCATGTTGAGCTTTAGGCTAAATCTTCACTGAGATATTAAGTCATGATGGAAATCTGATGAATCCACAATTCATAGTGTGACTGGCATCACTGCTTCTATGTTCGTGCCAATTTAATATTGGCTGGCATTCATGATTTGATTTGATTTATGCTTGCTCCCTTTTGCCAATGTATATATTCCTAAACCATATTGGGACTTGAATGGCAATGTTATTTCTACATTAGAATAAAGGCAAAATCTTTTTTCTACAGAGACTTGGTGGATGAGGCTAAAAACTACCTCCTGTTGCCTCAAGAACGACCACTAATGCAAGGACCAAGGACAAGACCACGGAAACCTATCCGATGTGGAGAAGTACTCTTTGCAGGTTGGAATTTTAATATTCCCATAACTAAGTCAAATATTTTCCAGTGTGACTTGAATAATTGTTTAGACACTTGTGATATCGACTGTACATATTAAGTCATCAGGTAGCTTAACTCTAAAACCATAATACAACAGTGGTAGTCTCCCAAAGAGTGATGTATTTTTACTGGGCATGGTGACACACACCTGTAATTCTAGCTACTTAGGAGGTAGACAGGATGATGGCAAGTTCAAGGCCAGCCTGGGCAACTTAGCTAGACCATGTCTCAAAAGAAAAAATAAAAAGGGCTGGGGCTATAGTTCAGGGTTAGAGAGCCCTGGGTTCAATCCCCAGTACTGAAGAAAAGAAAGAGTGCTCTATTTTTATACTTCTAAAAATATCCTGCAGGTATGTTTCGTTAAAATGAGTCATATGCAGGCTGGGGTTGTGGCTCAGAGGTAGAGCGCTCGCCTAGCATGCATGAAGCATTGGGTTCAAACCTCAGCACCACACAAATAAAATAAAGATATTGTGTCCACGTATAACTAAAAAACAAATATTAAAATTTTTTTAAAAAATGAGTCACGTGCATTAATTTATATTAGTGTGTGTGTATCAACTCGTAATTTCATGGAGTTGCCAAACAACATCACCTAATATGTTATATGACACAGACCCTTTCTTGGCTCTGTTATCCTACATTGAGCTCAAGACAGCATGCTATATTATTTTACTCCTTCTATCTGCCCCTGTCTTTGAGATCTTCCAATTTCATGTGCTTCAGTTCTGCCCTGCAGTCATCTCCCTTACCCACCTGAATAACACGGAATAACAGCTTTCTTACTATCTATTACAACTTCTTACATGTTGAGTATCCTTTATCGAAAATCAAAAAATGCTCCAAAGTCATGTCCGGACTCAAACTATTTTGTATTTTGGAGCACTTTCATATCTCAGATGTCCAGATTAAGGATGTTCTAAGCTGGTGATCTATGCAAATACTTCAAAATCTGAATCACTTCTGGTCCCAAACATTTCATATAAGAGATGGATACTCAACCTGCACTCCAGAATTTTTTCAAATCCTGCTTCATCAAGCTGGCTGTAACTTATTATAGCTTTTTTTATTTAAGCTTCCAGATTTCAGTAATTCCATGCTCTTAGATATGGCCATTCTCTGATTCTGCTCTTCCATTTTGATACATGAAGTGATCTCTTCTTTTCATCAGAGAATTTTATGCAGTCTTTAGAGTATAATACCCTTTCCTTCCTTCCTTCCCCCTCATTGGAGATTGAACCCAGGGGCTCTATTCCACTGAGCTACATCCCCAGCTTTTTTTATTTTTTATTTTTAGACCGAGTTTTGCTGAGTTGCTGAGCCTGACCTTGAACTTTTGATCCTCCTGCCCAGATTCTGGGATTATAGTTGTGCACTACAGACTGGGTGACAAGTTTTCTATTTGTGACTCTCCCTAATAAAATCTCAGTTGCCTCTTTTGATTACATCATGATGATTTTCTTTTTGTACCGTGGATTGAACTCAGAGGTGCTTAACCACTGAGTTACATCCTCAGCCCTTTTTGTATTTTATTTAGAGACAGGGTCTCACTGAGCTGCTTAGGGCCTCACTAAGTTGCTGAAGCTGGCTTTGAACTCGCAATCCTCCTGTGTCAGCCTCTTGAGGCACTGGGATTACAGGTGTGTGCCACCGCGCCTGGCTACATCATGATGTTGATGAAGCTACACCCGCTTCACCTTCTTCAGAAGCCTGTTAAATTGGATCTGTTTCATGGTCTCATTGTTGGTTATTGCTGATTTGGTGTCTGGTTCCTCCACTGTATTATCATTAAGTACTGAGGTCAAGGATCATTTCTAATTCGTTCTCATAGTTTCCAGATTGCATTTTTGACTTGTCAGAGTAGGCACTCACTGAAGAATAACTGAACATGAGGAACTCTAGTAAGAAATTAGCCCTGATCCTTCAAAAGTATTGGAAAAAGAAAAACCAAAGCCACATTCTAGCAGCAGTAGTAATTTATGAATTCACTTATATATGAAAGATGGCCTGTTTTTGTAGGTTTGTGGGGTTTTTTCCAGTGCTGCAGTCAGATAACCTACTTTTAAAACACATTTTTTTCTCACTATATAAGTAAATGTACAAGTAGTATAGAAATTTTGATTAGCACAGAAAATATAAAGCAGGAAAATAAAATCATCTGTCACCTTTCTTACACTAGTCAGGTTTCATTTGTAGAGAAGAGCCATTAGCTCTTTTCCTTTACCACCAGTATGGGTTTTCTGAACTCTATTTTTTTTTTTTTTTTTAATACTGGAGATTAAACCCAGGGGTGCTTTCCCTGATACTGAAATTCCTGGTATATATTTAGTTACAGAATTCAAACTTAACAAATTGCTATTCAAAAAACTTTCTGTGATTTAGTATTAGTTGTATATTCTGATTTAAATGAAAGCATAATAAAGTAAAATTTGTATATCACATTGAAATTTGAACTTTAAAAAGTGAATTTTTAGATTTATCTTGAAGATGACTAGGAACATTATTGCCTTAGTAGTCTGACTCAGGAATTTACCCGAGACCCTAAGAAACAAGTCATTTTCAAAGGTTTAGAGGTTACAATACCATGATACTTTATTTTTTAAGAATCCAGCTCTTATTTTGGATTGAAATAGAGATGATTTAAAAGAAAAACATGTTAAGCTAGGCATAGTGATACACACCGACAATCTCAGAACCTCAGGAGACTAAGGCAAGAGGATCATAACGGACCTCAGCAACTTTGTGAGGCCCTGAGCAACTTAATGAAACCCTGACTCAAAAAGTAAAGAAGGGGGCTGGGGCTGGGGCTGTAGCTCAATGGCAGAGCACTTGCTTCGCATGTATGAGGCACTGGGTTTGATCCTTAGCACCACATAAAAATAAACAAAATAAAGGCATTCTGTCCATCTACAACTCCAAAACAAAATTAGTTGTTAAAAAAAAGTACAGGATGTGATTCAGTGGTAGAGCACCCCCAGGTTCAATCCCTGGTTTAAAGGAAAAAAAAAAAAAAAAAAAGCAAATTAAGCTTACCTACCATAACTCTACCTTTTTTTAAAGATCATTTAAAGGAGCCTTCATAGAACTCAGTTTGAAAGTGTTATTCTGAACACTACCTACTCTAGTAATATGTTCAGTCTGCCATAACAAAATACTGGGTTATTTAAACAAAAATAAATTTTCTTTCAGTTGTAAAGTGGAAATCCACGACCAAGGTCCAAGCCAACTGTCCTATGGCTGTAATCTACATTTTAATCTGCTTTTAGACACATTTGTTAGTCCATGCTTTAGGTCCCAGTGAGGCTAGCAGGGATATATTCTGCCTTTAGGACAGGTACTCTCTTAACCTTCTCTTTCCTTCCCAGTTGGTGGTTGGTGCAGTGGAGATGCCATTTCCAGTGTTGAACGATATGATCCTCAGACCAATGAATGGCGAATGGTAGCTTCAATGAGCAAAAGGCGATGTGGAGTTGGGGTCAGTGTTCTTGATGACCTATTATATGCAGTAGGAGGCCACGATGGATCCTCTTACCTAAATAGTGTTGAAAGGTGAGTGAGGCTAATTTTAAATATTTTCATTTTAGATGTCAATCCAGATGTGACTTCTTTACTATTTCACTGTGGCACCAGTTAGCAACCTAGACCACTTAGCATGACATACAAGTCCTTTATGAACTCACTTCCCCCTGCTTGTCCAGCTTCTCATTGTCATCGCTGTTCTCTGCACATGCTACTGCAGACCCAGCAAGTTCCCTGCAGTCCTTTGGGTGTGCTGTGTTTTTCATACCTTTTCCCTACAAGTAGGCATGCTCTTCTTTCTTCCCTAGAATATCTCTGTCCCTTAAGGACTTAGAAATCCTTCAAAAACTCAACTGTTTCTTTCTACATAAAAATTTCTCTAACTATACAGAAGAGTTATTCATTCCTCTGCTCCTCCATGAGTGTTTTAAACATGCGTGTACATATCACATCGTGCTGTAATTGTGTGTTGAAAGTCTGTTCCCGTTTCCACGTGCCACAAGGCCTAGCACGCCGAAAGCTGTGTTTGAGTAGCTTCTTGTTCTCACACACCTTTTTTCATTCTACCATGTTGATTTATTGTGGTTTTTTATATTTACATAATACATCTATGAAATCCTGTAGCATATATAAGCTGGGGCGGAATGGGACAGAGGACTCCGTTGAATGGGGCAGGTTGCAGGGAAGAACTCTTAAAAATAAATTGATGAATAAAAGAAATCAGAGTAGAAAAAATTGAATATAACTTAACAGTTAAGCCTGTGCAGGTCAAAATATATAGAATGTAATACAAAGGCAAAGGTAAATGAATACCTGCATTTGAAAATAAGACAGATGAAAAATGAACCCTGTGTTTAAATCAAGAAGGTGTACAACAAAGAGCAACAAAACAGAAAGAAACAAAATAATGAGAAAATATTAACAAAATTGAAAAAATTAAAATTGAGAGAATTAGGGCTGGGGTTGTGGCTCAGTGGGTTAGCACTTGCCTCACACATGTGAGGCACTGGGTTTGATCCTCAGCACCACATAGAAATAAATTAACTAAAGGTATTGTGTCCATCTACAACTTAAAATAACTTTTAAAAATTGAAATTACTATTGGCTGGGCATGGTGGCACACGCCTGTAATCCCAGCAGTTTAGGAGGCTGAGACAAGAGGATCGCGGGTTTAAAGCCAGCCTCAGCAATGGCTAGGCACTAAGTAACTCAGTGAGACCCTGTCTCTAAATAAAATACAAAATAGGGCTGGGGATGTGGCTCAGTGGTTGAGTGTCCCTGAGTTCAAATCCCGGTACCAAAAAAATAAAATTAAAATTAAATTGAGATAACTGTAAAAAAAAGCAATTTGATAGTTTTGGGTTTAGTTTATTTTGTTTTTGTGTTACTAGGGATAAAAGCAAGGGCCTTCAAGTTCTCTACCACTGACCTACACCTCCAGCCTAATATTTATTGTTTTTCATAGCAAAAATGTCAAACAGCCTAAGATTCAGTAAGAATTCCTACTGATGTTAGTAGGAATATGATTAAAAAATGGATGGCACATACTGTATAATAAAATGGTTCAGGGGCTGAGATTGTGGCTCAGTGGCAGAGCGCTTGCCTGGCACTTATGAGGTGCTGGGTTCAATCCTCAGCACCACATAAAAATAAATAAATAAAATAAAGGTATTTATAAAAAAAAAAATAAAATCGTTCAAAGGAAAAATTCTAGAGTTACATTAGCATAATAGATGTCAAAAATTATTGAGAGAAAAAAATAGTGCTTACTATGTGGTATTAATATATATAATTTTATGTAAAAAAATGCTTGTGCATAAAGAAATACATATGTAGGTACTTATTTGCCTTTTTAAGAGCATTTTACTGGAAAGTCTTGAATATATGTGCCAGTTCAAACTGGATAGAGAACAGATTTCAGGTGGAACTCCAGGGATTATAGCTTATCAATAACATTCTGATTTTTCAAAAAAGAAAATATACTCATATGTAACTTGTTTAAGTAAAAATAAATTTCAGAATATAAAAATATAAATTAGATTTTCAAATGCTTCAATTATTAATCCACCCATATTTTGGGGAAAGAATATATAAATCCTTTGTTTTGAAATATGTAAACATAGCCAAGCTTCCATTATGCAGTATAAGCTCTGCTCTTGATATGTTCCTTACAGATATGATCCCAAAACAAACCAATGGAGCAGTGATGTGGCCCCTACAAGCACCTGCAGGACCAGCGTGGGGGTGGCCGTCCTCGGAGGCTTCCTATATGCTGTGGGGGGCCAGGATGGTGTGTCTTGCCTCAACATTGTTGAGAGGTAATTTTTTTTTAAAGTCACTTTCAATTAAAAAAAAGAAAAAAACAATTACAGCTGAATTTAGGACACTGATAGATCCACTATTTAGTAGATTTCCCGTACGTTTTCAGGAAAATGTTTAAGTCTGGAAAGATGAAAGACAAAAAAGATTTTTAAATTTTATGTTTAATCAACAAATTAAAAAGTCCATGTTGAACAACATGATGTTTTAAAATATGTATACCATGTAGAAGACCTAAGTCAAGCTGACTGACAGCGTATTACCCCAAATACATGTTTCATGGTGAATGTACTTAAAATCTCACAGCAGTTTTGAAGTATATAGTATATTATTATGAACTGTAGTCACCATTATTGAACATTAAGTCTCTTGAACTTATTCCTGAAATTTTGCATCCTTTGACTGCATCTTCCCAATGCTCCCAACCCCCCACCCAGCCTAGTAGAGAATAGAGCACATTCTACTTTCTGCTTCTGAGTTAGACTTTCTTTTAGATTTCACATACAAGTAAACTTGTATAAAATTTATTTTTCTTTCCCTGGTTTATTTCACATAATATAATGTCCTCCAAGTTCAACCATGTTGTCACAAATGACAAGATTTTTGTCTATTAAGAATAAATGCTTGGGCTGGGGATGTGGCTCAAGCGGTAGCGCGCTCGCCTGGCATGCGTGCGGCCTGGGTTCAATCCTCAGCACCACATACAAACAAAGATGTTGTGTCCGCCAAAAACTAAAAAATAAATATTAAAAAAAATTAAAAGAAATCCTGGGGCTGGGGTTGTGGCTCAGAGGAAGAGCACTTGCCTAGCGTGCGTGAGGCACTGGTTCAATCCTGAGCACCACATAAAAATAAAATCAAGGTATGTGTCCACCTACAACTAAAAAATAAATATTAAAAAAAAGGATAAATGCTATTGCATGTGTGTGTATGATTTTTTTTATACTATTGTAATTTAAATATCCAGTATATCTTAGTGTTATTTCAGACCTTATGGAAACAGCTTCACTCAGTAAGAACATGTACACATCCTGGTCTCTGTCACCATAGGTATGACCCAAAGGAGAACAAGTGGACTCGGGTAGCGTCAATGAGTACCAGAAGACTCGGCGTGGCCGTGGCCGTGTTGGGAGGGTTCTTGTATGCCGTAGGTGGCTCTGATGGGACATCTCCACTCAACACAGGTTAGTCCCTCCCAGAGGCCTTCTGGTTCCCCCCAAACAGCACATTTCCCTGAGGAGACTCCCCCTACAAAAACTATTGAAGGTCCAGGTTATGCTATAGTTTACTAGGAAAATGTTTTCTCTTCCTTCTAGGAGGATGCAGCTCTTAGCTCCTTCTGCATCCATACTCTTGTATACACTCCTAAAGTGTTTCTTTCTCCCTCAGCTTTGCAAACTGATGAAAATTTATAATGAATTAAAACTCCTTTCTGAAAAATTATTTTCACCTCCCCCCACCACAGTCTCCACCTCTCCAAAAAAAAAAAAAAAAGAGAGAGAAAAGAATAATATTACAGTCTGAGAATAAATAAATAAAATTTTCGAACCACAAACTTTGTGTGTCGTCCTTTCTGTTTAGAAGCAGTAGGCGTCTTTGCCTAAGGATATTGCCAGTGGCACTCTCTTCAGACCCCGATCACGATCAAGTAGCTTGTCCTCTGTTGGGTGGCTTAAACTATAGGAGGCTATGAGCAAGGGAGGCTGTCTATGCCAAAATAATGAGTAGTGAATGGCATTTATGGCTCCTGTAGTCCGGTCCCCTCTGTAAAGGTCAGGAGAGCAAGGCTGAGGCTACCATTGCTAATTAATTATAGCCAAAACGAGAGCTGGAATGTCGTGACTCCAGCACATGCCCTTTCCACTCTAACACACCTGAGGACGCTAGTCTGATGAGAACAGATGTGGTTTTGTCCAAAGTCCACAAATCCTACTCAGAAGCAAGTATCAAATTGCTTCTTGGAAATAAGTGTTATCACTGTTTCAGGAAAACTTGCATGAGAGGAAGCGGTTGAGTGGTCACATCTTGGTCTTTCTTTTCCCTGCAGTGGAGCGCTACAATCCTCAGGAAAACAGATGGCACACCATAGCCCCTATGGGGACCCGGCGGAAACACCTGGGCTGTGCAGTGTATCAGGACATGATTTATGCCGTGGGAGGGAGAGATGACACCACAGAGCTCAGCAGTGCTGAGAGATACAACCCCAGAACTAACCAGTGGTCTCCGGTAGTGGCCATGACATCCCGCCGCAGTGGAGTAAGTGCCCAGCTGCCAGGAGATTGGAGCTGTGGAAACCAGGCACCAGGGGAGCGCGGTGATAAGGGCGCGCTGGTCTGTGAATCCACTGTGCTGCCACAGGGGGGGAGGTGACCTGCTGGTGCCTGCAGGTGTTAAGTCTTCAGCTGTGTCACCCGATGCTGTGGGGTGCTTTAAGACAAAATGATGCCTGCTGATTTAATACTAGAAAAAATTCTTTTGATTGCTTTCAACTCTAATAATTATCTTATATCCATTCATTTCTTTTATTAGATAATTAGTTTCTTCTGATTTACTTTGAATCAAGTCATTCCCTTTATTACTACTACCTTCTCTAACTTCAGATCCGTTAGAGCTCAGTATTCTTACATAACATTTCTAGCTAGTAGTCCAAAAATTTACATACATTGTATGCAGATATTTAGGCAAAAATGTACCTGCCCCACCCCCCACTAGTCTCCATAGCTGGTTTGAATCAGTGCCACCCAGAGGAGAGGCCAGATCTGGCTGGCCCATGTCATGCTGTAAACCATTAATGACCTCTGGCTACATGCGGCTCCCAGAGTGGAGTACCCAATTCACCCACCCTGGAGCCAGGTGCAGTGGTGCATGCTTGCAATCCCAGCAACTTGGGAGGCTGAGGCAGAAGATTACAAGCTTGAGGCCAGCCTGGGCAACTTAGTAAGACCCTGTCTCAAAATAAAATAGCCCAGTGGTAGAGTGCCCCTTGGTTTAGTTCCCAGCACCAAAAAAATAGAATTCATCCATCCTGGAACATTTGGCTTACTGAAATGTAACCCACATGTAATGACCATGTCAGGAGTCCATCACTATAGGACGCAGCCATAAGAGAAAGGACTGGAGACTCCACAATCTGAGGATGAAATGAATGAATTCAAGTTTGCAGAGATCAAGGACCACAGTGGGAGGTGTCAACAAGTCAAAGCATTCACATGTGGCTTTTCATTACTGGTAACTCGACAGCTTCTTAGTCACATTCCTGTTATTTTCACTGCTATATCCTGTTGACCATATTTTCCCTCATTTAGCAAGCCTTTATTAAGTGCTTGCTGTGCTGAGGAAGCGGGCTTCTCTTCAAGGAACTCCTGATTTAGGGAAGGAAATTGAAAGGTTTGCCGCTGACTGAATAAGCCGATGCAGCAGCCACAGTGGCGTGCTACTGGAGAGCACGGCTGAAGATGCCTCGGGTTGTGTGGAAATGCATCCAAGTGGGCGGGTAGTGAAGCACCCAGGGACAGTCCACATAGGCTGGGTCATGAAGAAAGAGTAAGGTTTTCCAGGAGGGACAGAAACACCAGTCAAGAAATGACATGTGCAAAACCATGGAGGTATAGAAATGTACTTAAAAAGACCAGCAGTTAATCCAGTATTTCTGCAGCATGAGTCATGAAGAGGAAGAAGGGGACAGTTTAGGAGGCTAGATATACAGTGGCCTACAACGGGTTCCTGAAAGGCCTGAGTCACATAGTAAGGACTTCAAACTTATTTTTAGGGGGGAGGGATGCTTAGAAAGTTTTTGTTTTAAGAGGCAGAGGTAGGAGGATTCCAAATTGGAGTCCAGCCTCAGCAAAATAGCAAGACCCTGTCTCAAAACTAAATTTTAAAAAGGCCTGGAACGCAGTGGTTGGGTGCCCCCATTTCAGTCCGAAGCACTGTGAAAGGGAATCTTAGTAGCAGTGTAGAAAGTGCTTTAGAGCTGGTGGGTACCAGAGGAAGTTAGCAGTTCAGGCCTTAGTGCTTTCTTCTAATGAACGTTCCTTCTAAAATTTAAGAAATATGTTTTGGATTCTATAAATATTGTAATTGAATATATAATTTTATGGTTCCCATATTTCACAGATATTCATTGTTACTTTTTTCCTCTGTGTTCAAGTGAACCAGGATATAAAACCATAAAGAACTAAAGAGATCAATGTAGAAGAGGGGCTGACGTCTCCCAGTAATTGTCTAGCTCTTCAGCAGCCACTATGCTCTCGTTCTGTAGGTGGGCCTGGCCGTGGTCAATGGACAACTTATGGCCGTGGGAGGTTTTGATGGCACAACCTACCTGAAGACCATCGAAGTGTTTGACCCCGATGCCAATACCTGGAGGTAAACCTAGGCTGTGTGCAGTTCTGCTCACTCTGACTCAGGGCTTCGAAATACCCGCCGTTGTACTCTAAAGAGAGCTGAAGCCCAGCATGGTGGCTCACATCTGTGATCCCAGTGGCTCCAGCGGGAGGCTGGGGCAGGAGGATCATGAGTTCAAAGCCAACCTCAGGAAAAAGCAAGGCGCTAAGCAACTCAGTGAGACACTGTCTCTACATAAAATACAAAATAGAGGATGGGGCTCAGTGGTTGAGTATACCTAAATTCAATTGCCAGTACCCCCCCACAAAAAAAAATGAATCTGATAGAGGCCCTAAAATGCCAAATTGACTTAGATATTATAAGAACTCAAATTTGTAAGAGTTAGTTCTCAAACTTAATAAAAAATATTTTTTAACTAAAATTCTAATTCTTCCAAGACCTGGATATGGTAGTATATACCTGTGATCCCCATTAAGCAAGACCCTGTCTCAAAATTTAAAAAGGACCGGTGAAGTAGTTCAGTGTTAGAGCACCCCTGGGTTCAATCCCCAGCACCACAAAAAAATAAAATAAATTAGTCTTCCAAGAAATCAAATTCACCTTCCAAGCAATTAAGGGTTCTCTTTTCCACAAATTGAGCTTCCTTGCCTCAGCAAATTTTAAAGTTCCCAGCTCAGTGACTGAGGCAGAACATCAAACAGGGTGACGAGTGTGAACGTGAGGTCTCATCACACTCTGGGAGATTCTCAGGTCCATCCTGAGAGACAAGCTGAACTCATCTCAGAGGCCATTCCCACTGGGTCCCAGTGAATCACTTCATAATGTAGAGCCTGCAACTAACCACCAAGTTTTTTCCTCTCCCCGTTGGATAACTAATACATTCACTGAGTTGTTCCCAGTCTTCACCTCGGGAATATCTTACAGATGTTTAAATAACTTGCTTTATCTGCATGGCTCTCGCAGCTCTGTGTGCCTAAAGTACTAAAGCCAGCCTGCGACACTGGAGTATTTTGTGCTCCAAAACCTCATATTTTCACCACCCTGTTCATTGAAGATTTACTGAGTATTCCAGGCCCTGGGGATCCAAAGGTGAACAAAACAAAGTTCATTGCCCTCCTGGAGCCAGCCTGTGCTCAGACCAGCTGGGCTCACAGGAGGTGGAAGTGCAGGTGAGCAGGAGAACGGGGCATTCGGAAGCTAGGGAGGAGTCTGCCGCCAAGGGCCATTGAGGGCCTCACTGACAAGGAAACATTCTGGCAAAACCTACTACAAGTTAAAGGCTGCAGGTTTTCATGAATGGAAGCCTCCTTCTCCTGGGATTCTTCCATATAGAGTTTTATATTTTTTGTAAGAATTTGTGAGTAAGAATAATTTGGAAAAATTGCCAAATTTACTTTTGCTACTTAATCAGGTATAATCCAATTTATATAAGGACTTGCTGCTCAGTAACCACTACTAGAGTTGTAACATGATGATATCATATTCATGAAATTGTGGAGGGTCGTCTGTAGAGAGATTAATGTCTAAATTTTTGCAGTTATAGATGCCCAGCTTAAAACCAGTTTCACCTCCCTGCTAACTGAGGATCTGGCGTTGTCCATGAAAGTCTATAGTGTTGAAGATGATCTTGTTCACCTCCTGGCTGCCAACACTCTTTGCTTGACTCTAGTTGTGTTCTCCACAGGATTTGAGAAGAGTCAAAAGAGTGCATGGAAGACAAAGAGATAAAAGGAAACCACTGAGGAAGGCTAGGCAGAGGGAATGGGATAGGAAAGTCAACGTAACAGGGCAAAGTTAGACACAAAGCTACAGGGCAGACAGAAGATTCTCTGTCATTGTTGGGTTTGTTTTTTTAACTTTTTTTGTACAATTTTTAGAAGCCATTCTAGTTGTAGAGTTGTCAGGTTCTGATGCACAAAGTAAATGTGGTGCTCTTGACTCTTTAAACAGCCTATGAATGAGAGCTTTTCAGTCGGTGTCTGAAATAATTCTGCGCCTTGCCAGTGCTCAACTCTGGCTTCGAATCTTTGGAAGAGTTGTATGAAGCTGGAAATAATAGTTGTGGTGTAAAACATAGACATGTGTTTGACTTGTGGTTATAGTAGAAACAGTGCTTTTCCCAGCTAGAAAATCTGATTTTGTTTCTATCTTTGCAGGTTATATGGCGGGATGAATTACCGTCGGCTAGGAGGGGGTGTAGGAGTTATTAAAATGACACATTGTGAATCCCATATATGGTGAATATGTAGAAGACTGTCTTGAACCTGCTTCTCTGTATTCTGGAGACCTCTGACTTTGAAGCTTTGTACAGCTTGAGAAAACATTAGAACAAATTTTATTCTTTGCCGGTGCCTCAACATATGGGAATGCAAATCTGATGACAGTGCTTCACCTGCAAGATGCCACCTTTGCACAATAATTTCCAACTCTGTGCAGAAGAATATTTATTTTTGGTTTTAACTTATCATGGTGTTTTGGTTTGGGGGTGTTTGGGGCTTTGTTTTTTTGTTTTTGTTTTTACTTATCCTTCCTCCCAAGAAAAGAAGACAACGACTACAGTTCCAAGCAGCAAAACTTACTTTGATTTTTAAGGTATTAACTTAATTTTGAAAATACAAATACTGATAAGGGCAGAAGGGCTATTATGGTCTGGTGGTCATATCTACTGGACACTCCATCCATGTCCTCCACCACTTACCAGGACTCCCAGTGACAGAGATGGGAATGCACAGTGTGTGAACTACTCGTCATTCTCATACTCAGCACCACAAGACTTGAAAATCTAAAATAAAAAGGAATCATCTCATTAAATAGTACAATTCAGAAGGAATATTAAATCATCAAAAGCAGGAGTCTAATGCTGCAGTTTTCATCAGTGGAAGTTTTCGTCTTATTTCCTTCTAATGGACTTGTTTTCAACTCTAGTTACTAAAGTCTTTTTTATCATAATATTCTCATGGAGTTTCTGCTAGACCTATACTTTGATCAGTGCCTCTTATAAAAATGGGAATGCATCTCATTTGCTGTCTTGAGACCCCCCAACCACATGCAGCTCTGCAAGAGTTTTCACTCACAGACTCACCAGTGGAAGCCACTTCCCTTGCTGTTTCCTCATTGCTGCCCAGGATGGCAGGGAGAAATGTCCTCTCCCCAGCAGTGAATTCTGTTGAGTAATTTACCCTTGATACTCAGGCCTGGTGAAGCTGAGGCTTACCTTTAATAACAGCCTCCAAAGGAATGAAGTCTTCAGTTCACGCAATCCACTGAGGCATTTTATCAATATCTGGGTTCTTTTACGCAAACTATACATCATTAGCTTCACTCCATAAGGCCACTGTAACTATTTCTCTCAAATTGCATTTTCTGGTGAAAAGTTAAAATTTTTAAGGAAATAAATGATATTCAGTGGTTAAAGTTTTTTTCCCTCGTTATATTCATAGACCAATTTTTTCAATTATTTTGCAGGAAAACCTTTGAATAAGACTTTAACCGCACACTGGGCATGGTGGTGCGCGTCTGTAATCCCAGCTACTCGAGAGGCTGAGGCAGGAGGATTGCAAGTTGGAGGCCAGCCTGGGCAACTTAGCAAGACCCTGTCTCAAAATAAAAAGGGCTGTGGATGTGGCTCAGTGGTGGAATGCTTGCCTGGTGCAAGGTCCTGGGTTCAGTCACCAACACCCACAGCAAAAAAAAAAAAAAAAAAAAAGACTTTAACCACAACCAGAAGGAATAACCTTTGCTTTCTCCTCTACAATAAAAGAATAATCTTCACTTTCTCCCCTACAGTAAAAAGTTTGGCAACTTTTGTGTTTACATTTAAAGATCATTTGCACCTTTTTCAAGGAAAAAAAATATTTGGTAAACAATTGTTTACATGTATCATTTATGCTTTTTTCTAGCATGTATAACTTTTTTAAATAAAGGTAGTATTTACCATAAATTCTAATGATTGCTTTTTAATGCTTGTAGTACCTTTGCAATTTCATTTGGGTTTTCTATTTCTTTATCATTTGTATTACTTTTATGTAAAGTTGGTTATGAGAGCTTAAACTTGAAAGAACAAAGGTTGCCAGCTAGAATTAGCACTTATTATATATTTTATATTACCTGATCTATAAATATATTTTCTGATGTAAAACTTAGAGCCATACAATTTTAAGTTAAAAAGACATTTAATCCAAACCCATCTATTACGATGATCTAAATCTGAAAACCAAGTAAGTCTACCTAAAATTAAATAGTCAACTAATGACAGAACTGACATTAGGTCCCCACCCCATCTCTCTATATGCCCCCCTGCCACTACAAGCCTACCAGGAACATGGCCTGCAACAAAATAAGTCATTAGACTGCTGTAGTGTGGATCTAAAATTTCCCCAGCCCCTGGTACTAGTTGAAGGTGATGAACCCTTACAGGAGTAGGACCAAATTGGAGGAAATTAGGTCATTGGAGGCATGCTTTTGAAGGGGATATTGGGACCCTACCTCCCTCCTCTCTTCTCCATGAGGTGAACAGCCATCTTCACTATATGCTCCTGCGTTCTATGTCTTAACTGGCCAACTGTCCATGGACTGAAACCCCAAGCCAATTATAATAAACCTTTCCTTGTTTTAGGTTGATTACCTCAGCTAATTTGTCACAATAACAGAAAGGTAATACAGACTATAAGTAGTATTTAAGTTAGTCTGGCTAAACATTTTTAAACTAAAAACTTATGAGATCCTTACTATAGTACATCATTATCAGTCTTCAAAGAAAAATCATGTATTTTTCAAGACTTTATGATTGTATATATTTGAGGAAAAGGGAAAAATGATAAAAGGAACATAGTTCTCTCCTTTAGAAAGTTCCCCGTGGAAGCAATTAATATGGCAGTGATTCAAGAGTGGAGAGAATTGGAGAATCACAGCCTGCAGATAATATTTTCTAACCACTGAAGAAGAGGATGCTCTGGAACAAGCTATGAGAGTTGGGGTAGAGTCTTAGAAACTTTGGTAGGAAACAGATGGGGAAAGGAAACAAAACTGGGATGAGGAAAGAAGTACAAGAAAGAAAAGAGACAAAAAGCAGAAGGCAAAAATGGTGCTTCCTGGCCGTGTTAAGTAGTTTTGACAACTGGCTTTTAAGTCGAAGGCTCCTCTATTCTGGAAATGATTGATATGAGGGGCCCCTAGAAATGACAAAACTCTTCAAATTGTCTCACTGATTTTTAGTATTTTAGTTATTTAGCCACTTAAGTTAGGAACTTAGATTCTTTTATTTGTATTGTGTGTGGTGCAATTGGACCTAGGGCCTCATGTGTGCCAGGAAGCATTCTTCCACTGTGCTACATCCCCAGATTCTCTTAAATGTAAAGAAGAAATGGTATTTACTGTACTAACATTAAGTATTTCAGGTTATTCCAGTAATAGTAACCTGTGATTCTTATCCTAGAAAGATGTGTAAGAACGTTTCATTAGGTTTCAATTCCTAGAACAGATTTTCAGTGTGATTTAGATCAAGATCTGGACTTCTGCTAAACAAGAAGAGTCCTTTTCTTCTAAAAGCTTACAGTTGCAAAACTAAGGTTGATCAAGCCTCTAAATCAGTGGTTCTCAAAGTGTGGTCTAAAGACCCTTAAAGTTACCAAGATTCTTTGATGAAAGAATTCATGAGTCAAAACTATCTTCTTAATAATACTAAGACATTTTTGCCTTTTTTATTGTGGTGATATTTGATGGTGCAAAAGCAATAGTAGGTGAGACTGCTGGAGCCTTAGCACAAATCAAGGCAGTGGCACCAAACTGTATAATTAATTATAGTATCCTTCTAAGTGCAAGATAGACCAATAGATCTTATAGGAACAGTAAGATATGGTTTCAGATTTCAACAGACACTTGTCAAGTTTTGATAGACATCCTTATCCAAAGTACACGAATGAAGACATGAATAGGGTGTCAAAACACTTTATATACAAACAGAGATATGAAAAATTGTATATATGTGTAATATATATGTGTAAATATATATATACAACATGTATATATTTGTTATATAAATATATATACATATATATGCATATATATTTACACATACATGTGTAAAAATTGTATATATGTGTAATAAGAATTGTAATGCATTCCTGTCATTTTTTTWAAAAAATYAATTAAAATTTTTTTAAAAATAAAAAAAGAATATCCATAATTGTCAGGAAAGCTATTAAAATACTCCCTGTTCTAACTTCATGTTTGTGTGAGCCACACTTTCTTCATATACTTCACCAAAGTAATACATTGCAAAAGATTGAATGCAGAAACAGATATGAGAACCCAATTGCCTTCTTTTAGGCCAGAAATTACTGGGATGTGTTAAAAAAAAAAAAAAAGTAAAAGAATGTAACTCATCACTAATTGTTTTTGAAAAAAATCATTTAAAAATGTTAATATGTAGTAAGTTAAATTTTTAATTTTTTAATTTCTCAGTTTTAAATTCTAATATATAGACATCACTAGATATAATCCTYATAACCAAAAGCTCTTTTAGAATCCTCAGTAGTTTTTGAGACTATAAAAGTATCTCGGTGAAAAACTGTTTGAGAACTACTGCTCAAAATCTTCCAGTTTATAGGAAACAGAGGAGTGAGTTAACATCATAGGAATTCAATGAACAAAATCCAGAATGTGGGAAACTTTACAAATGATCAGTTTCTCTTAAAAATAAATGAATTGCAAAAAAAAAAAAAGTGGAGAGTATGAAAAAAGAATGTGTGACTCATAGCATCTAATGCAGTGTACAAACCTTATTTGGATAATGTTTCAAGCAAATCAATAACAAAAATGTTTGAGTTAAAGAAAATTTCTTACTGGGTATTTGACATTCAAGGATTACTGAAAAATATTTTCAGGAATGATAGTATTATGTTTATGTTATTTTGAGTCCTTTTACAGATGCATGTAAAATATTTGTGGGTTAAATAATTTGGATTTTAGAGAAGTAGAAAGCAGACAGGAATGTAGATGAAATAAGATCAAGTATTGGTCATTGCTGGCATATGAATTCAGTAGGCATTAATAATATTTTAGTATATGTTTGAAATTTTGCATTTAAAAAATATTTTTGAAAAACAAGTTTCAAGTATGAGTCAGGCAATTCTAAAAGTAATGTATTGCAGTATAAAACATGCAAGGATCTAATTATTTAATTAGCCCAGGAGTGACTCAACAGTTGCCCTGATGAGGATTGAAAGAGCCCTCAGAAAGAAGTTGAGCCTGAGAAAATCTGAAAGACATAACAGTTTTGTTAAGTGGACGAGAGTGGCAAGGACATTCCAGGAAGAGAATGTAGCGTGTGTAAATTATACCGAATAAAGGCCACGAGAAAGCATAGGGTATTAGGGGAAAACAAAGATGTCTTCTTTCAGAATGAAGAACAAACAAGCCACTGTGCAGAAATAAGCCAGGAGAAGAAGCAATTACCATCACAAAGGCCTCTCAACTCAGTAGTTCTTAGCTTTCTTTGCTGCTGCTTTATTGCAGCAAAGAAAAAAAAATGTATCTTTTGTTCTGTTATGATGTGGTGCCTAGGCTCCAAGATGGCCCCAAAGACCGCTGCCTCCTGGTATTCACACCCTTTGTAACCTTCCCCCACTGCACTGGCTGGTCTGATGGTCTGTACTCTGGTAGGAGATGTTGATAAGGAAGGAGGTTAGCGTGTCAGGGAGAGGGTATAGGAGAAATGCCTGCACCTTCCACTGAAGTTTGCTGTGAACCTAAAATAGCTCTAAAAATAAGGTCTATTTTTAAAGGGAGGAGGACATTTTCTAGTTTTACTTCCAAAACCAGTTTATAAAAAACCAGCCTTCATTTTGTGTGCTTTTTTTCTTTCATCTTTCACATTCTGGAAGAAGTAAATACATGGAAATAGAAAATAAACCCATGAACCTCCATGTGCCCATCATCCAATTTCAAAAATTATCAACATTTTGCTAACCCTTTCTTAACTATTTTCTCCTACTCTTTTCCCCAGTTAAAGCAAATTTCAGTCATGTTATTTCATTCATTCTTGAATAATTTCAATAGATACTATAGCATTATCACACTTGATAATATTATAATTCCTTAACATCATCTAATACCATCAATGTTAAAATCTCCTTAATTAAAGCTTATGCTCTTGATCAGTGGTGGGGACCTGCAGGGTTGCCACTTCCCTCACGATGGCTTTAGTCTGGACTGTGCCACTGCCCCAGAGCCTCATTAGTGGAGGAGGTCAGGCTGCAGACAGAGTGATGGCAGCAGAACGGAACCCCTGGATGGGCTGTTCTGGGAAGCTTTGCTGATGTGCAGCAGCTGGACAATGTTCCTCATTAACACCAGTTATGAACATCATTATGACATCATTTCACAGTGGTGGCAGGGACTCAGCTCCCAAATATATATAGAAAAAGAACCCAAATCCCAGTCTTTCAATGGTTTCAAGACAACCAGAAGTGCCTGTTCTTGAGCCTAGTGGATTTCTTGGCAAGATGCCCGGCTATGGGGATCTGCCACAAGGCATTCAGCTATGATGACCACCTCCAGGGCCCAT